TGTGCTATGTGTAGCATTGTAAAATGCTGATAAAAAAGTTACAATATGCATTTGAAAATGGATTTTATTCAATGCATTGCTACAAATAAATTACGACAATTTAAAAAAGAAAAAAGGCACAACAAATTATAAAAGCAGTCAAAACACATTCAAAAGTCAAATCGGTTATATTTTTATTCGTTATTAATACATTAAATTGCATTATTCTACAATTAATTGTTAACCTATTTTACTATGAAACCAAATACTTTAACCTATGAAAGATTTGAACCACTTACTTTGAGCTCACTTCCAGGAGGACGATGCACTAACACTGTGACTGGGGACTGCGCCCCGGTGGTTATATGTGGCTGACCGGCGACTTTGACGTCATCCGCGGTGCCAGGGGGTTTCCACCGGCCTGAAGACAGACAGCTGACCGGTGTGCGGCATTGTTGATCAGCTGGTACCACATCAGCTGATCAAGTGACAGTTGTCTGCTCGCGCGGAGATTGTGTGATAAGGTGAACTGTTCTAAGATGTTTGTTATTTTTATGTTAAAGGTTATTGTTGAGCACTTTTTGTAGAGCAAATAAACATTTTTGAAGGTTAAGTTTTATGGATAAATAAAAATAATATAGCACTTCAAAAATATAAAATGTTCATTTTAGTTTCCCCAACGACCTTGAATATGTCATTACCGTACAAATAGATTTATTTTTATTAATTTTTATCATATTTAATGTAATAATATGAAACTTGTTTTTGTGCTTTTCATGTTTGTGACATTTGAACGCTAGTCTACTTAATGTTAGTTTTCATACTTTAGGGAAGATTTTATGATTGGCGTTTTTCTTTAGTTTTAATGCTATAGGACATCATTGGTATACAAATATACAGTTTTTTTTTTTTGCAAAAACGGTTTTGAAATTGGTTTGTTAAGGTTTTAAGAAGAAACAAATAGAAAACAACAAAACGTCCTCTATATAACAACACCTCTATTTAACAGAATCGACGCAAAAAATATATTCATCTGATCCATAGGATTATTAAAGCCGACAATCTATGACGTTAACTGAACTTTTTAAAGAACCGAATCTGAACGGCGTAAAACTAAAACTACCTTAAACTTAGCAATGATACGGAGTGTTTAAAGACGTTTAAAATGTTTTTATGTTGGCCTCCGGATTACTTTGGTTAAATATATGAATTTATGTAAATACTGGCTTCGTAGAAATCCAAATTGATAAGTGTTACTTATCAATTTATATACATCCGCGGGACTCTACATCCATCCGGTTGCCGGCGAACTATTCACATACCATTGTTACAATTTTTTATTCGTTTGTCACTCGATATAAATGTACCTTTTCATCGTTTAAATGTCCATGCTGGTGTTCTTGTGTCTATGTAGAAGTGAATCGACAACCTTCTGATGAATTATCAAGATATCCTTTGACGGCTGAAGATCACTTCCTGAAGGTGAAGCCATTAAATGAGTGCCTAAGCAAAAGTTCCATGCGGTCTACCCCTTTTTAATCTATGGCGAAACTAGTTGCGGCATTAGTAGCAATTTGGATTAATACGAAGCAGGTATTTACATCAATTTATTTAGTTGGGCACCTACAAACTCTTTTTAGATCTAGTTTAATGATATTTGGATGTTATTGTAAACTTTGGCTTGGATATTCCTAGTTTGAAAATAATGATTTAATTCATCGCTAACATACGAGTACTGAAATAAAAAGAATTTAAAAGTTCAAAAGTCTAAGTTGTTCCTAATCATGTTATTTTTCTATACTAATGTCATGTTATATCTTTTAAGAACTGTATTTAATTGGTGAAAATAAACTGTCTGACTTCACTTTGATGCAAAACAACTACGCACGTGAACAAGATTTTCCTGATTCTGGACCTACCTTCACTTGGATTTCCAGGAGTTACTCCTACACCCATCGATGAGGAACTGGTTTAAAAGAGCCTACTGCTTACGGGTTAGCTGCGAGACACCTACTGCTGTTTGTGGGTTGTTTAAAATGCTGTTTCTGCCTATGATCGCACCCCAAGACCTTGCGCCATTCGTATTGGGCAAAAAGTATTTCTCTATAAGCTGATGGGCAGTTTGCAAAGGTGGATGACGAGACTTAATCCGATTTTTTGTGAGAGGTACAGTGGGTAAGTTAGAGACAAGATTTATCTGTATTCCCTCACTAATACATTATCGCGGCATATCTCAGAAGAAGGTACATGAATTAAAACTGGAACGCTGGATGCCAAGGAAGAGGAGTAGGTCTAGTACTTACTGTCAAATCTTCGCCTTCGTCAGACGACCGTGACGTTGAATTTGTGAAGATTGTAACCTACATTTCGTTTGCATTGTAGCAACTCATCTTCGAGGCAAACTACAATTAAACTCATCGAGTCATTTAGTTGATGCAGTATCGCAATCTACTTTGACTATGGAATTCTACCTTAGAGATTAAGTGCTTCCTACGGCTCACATTACCCTGTCGAAATCCAAACCCTCACAAGAGTACACATACGTACTAAGAAACTAACGTGTGTACGTTTTGTGTACGTATTATAACAATAATATGCGCACTAAGAAGTACGCATATTTTTCAGCCTGAGTAGTATTCAGATACCGAGAAGACTTAGAAACACGGGTGATGTACCAAAAATTAAATACAATACTAACCCCTTTTCATGCCTTTCAAGGATTTTTCCAAAATCACTGTAAAAATACAGTTTTTTTTATTTTTATTTTTTTATTAGCCCTGTTAATGAAAACAATAAAACAGCCTTTTCGCAACTAAATGGTGGAAAGCTGGATTTTGTATATGTGATATAATCTTATGGGAGGTGTATTTTCCCAAAAATCCCCACTCTTACCCCTTGAGCTTTCCCCCCCCCCCTTCAAACATAGAAATTGCAGTGTTATACTAAATTGGTCATAAGTTGAATACTATGTAAGCTATCGTGTTTAAATTTTTCTTGTTTTATTTCTGATTCGTTTTCCTACAACTTTTGTACTTATAGTTTTTTTTCTGAAACCATTACTTAGGGAGATATAAAATTAAAACTTCGTTAAAAGATTCGTTTCAGAGTACAACATTTTGTTTTTCTCTGTATTTGTTTTAAATAAATCTCTAAAATTGCTGTATTATTGTCAAAAGATTATTATTTTATACCGTGTGCCTTACAATTAAGTATCTGTAGACTAAAAAGTCGTATGGAATTAAGTTTTCTATTATACACCATAAATATGTTCTGTAAAGCACCGAGTTCACGTTCACATAATATCCCTGTTTAATCACATTTCATCCAGACTCTACTTCAACTCTCTTATTAGCCTAATTGTGGAGGAATTACTCTATATAGACTAATTTTAGAAAATACCTAGTTCCCAACTTTCACGGGTTTCCCATTTAAACCCACTCTATGAAGTTGACGGTCCTAAACCGGCGCTACACGTTAGTGATAATGACTCGAAACAATGTTCAAGTCGAGCGGGAAGCCCGATTGACACGTTTTCTCGTCTTAGTGTGAGTGCGTAAGCGTATGAGTTTGTGTATGTGTGTGTACATGTGAGTATGTATGAAGCAACCATTGTTACAATCACCTACAATTACACACTATCCACTAAAGTAGACAATGGTTTATAACTTACCAACGGGGAACTGTTAACGGTTCGATCATCAGGAAAGTCGGTCGCCTACGCTAGAACAAACACTCTCTGATATCACTCGGGCACATACTGTTATCAGCTGGCTTTGAAATGCAACATATGCACCCGTGCCTAACATACACACGCCCTTAAAGATATCTGGCTTTAAAACGTTCAAATGAAATTTTAAATTGTAAGTAATTTACCAATTTACAAAACAACATACGAGGGATTAAATTAATGCAATAAAGTTTAGGTAAAATACTGTATGTTGCAAAGACATAAGGGGATGCAACTAACGGGCCAAAATGTATATAATAAGTGAGGCCTTTATACTAAAAGAGCCATAATAGAGCTCTTTCTCGCTGTTTGTCAATTAGCTGTTCTTGTGGATGTTATAGTGAAAATCAGTCAATTGTTCAGATTTATTCAAAGGGTTAATAGATAAAACATAATTGTGTTTTTTTAACGCACGTTATTGTTTACACATTTTAATTGAGAAGGGGATATTTTAAAGACTGAAAAAATCTCACAAGTAAAGCAGCATTCCCAACTGTAGTATTTTAAAAACGAAAAGATTAATCCAAAAAACATGATTCTCAAATAGGTGGGTAATGTTAATGATACTACCACAACTATAAGAACAAAAACAAATGTTGTCACTGGCCTGAAAGGAAACATGATTTTTATCAATATTTAAATGGAGTCAAACCAGCCGTTACAGCCATTTGTATAGGCATTCAGGTCAGTGACGTCATTTGTTTATGTTTATTATGAGAAATGCGATAAACAATAAGTCTGGATCAGGTGAAATTAGGTATGTTTCTGTCCAAATATGTACTGGGCGTATTTAAATTAAATATTCTATGTGTTGTTGTTTCACAACGTTTAAAATTGTTAACGTGGGTATAATCATTGACTATATATACCTACAGGTATAGTCTATATATACCTATATATATATATATATATATATACTATACATATAAATTGGCTATATATATATACCTATGGGTATATATAGTCAATGGTATAATCAAAAGAAATACGTTTATTGTAAATGCTAGTATGCAGCGGACGGAAGATGATTCGTCACTCTTGACATGAATAATAGATGTTCCGCCGCGCATGTGGTGCGGCTGGAACTGCAGTCGTTGGACGACAGCCGTCGATAATCGTAGAGCGACTGCTGAGCATTGTTTTCAATGGCGCCCACTGACGCGACTGGCGCCACAGTCGTAGACGGCTATCGTACGGGTCCGCTCCTGGAGCAGACATAGTCGCAGTCGTTGCACGATTTTTGAGGCTTTCGCAGCGTTTTCTCAAGAAAGTGCACGTGTCTTTTTGTCGAGTGTCATCCAAGACTACAATGAAAGTGTTTACGCTCGAGGAAGACGAGAAACTAGTTGAGGCGATTTCTCCCCACCCTGAAATTTACAACCTGAGACACCCTCTTTACAAGGACCAACGAGCGAGAAACAACGTTTGGGAAGCAATATCAGAGGAAGTCGGAAGATCAAGTAAGTTTATTTATCTCTAAAAAATGTCACATAACATTTATGCACTTTTTCGTTTCATGATTCGTCTGATAGTGGTGCTGTGTTTTATCTACTAAACCTAATTCAGTTTCAATAGGGCCTACCTTTTAGCGAATTTCCCTACAGCAAGTAGCTATTACCGTAGGTGGCACGGTAAGACCTAGGCCCGGGACCGATTTACTTTTTCAAGTTGATGTCATATAACATAACATATTTTGATCGAATTTGGAAAATACATTCATTTCTTACAGTCATTTCTATTGACATTTAAAAAAAAACCTCACCTTTTTACCCTCCCTGTTGCAGCAAACCTAAGTACTCGTTAAACCAATTCTATTTAAATTGGAAATAAATATGATATTTTTAAGGAGACATTTAAGTGTAAATCCTATCAGGATAATGGAAATTCGCTTAGTCTGCAGGTTTGCTGAGGTGGGTGTATTTAATCATAAAATTAAACTGTCATAACCTAACCTAACCGACCAAATTTGCTGATATGAAAAAATTTTGACAAGTTAGTACTACCAGCGGAATTTGAACCTGGCATCTTCAGATTATCACCCCGACACGCTATCCACTACACCACCAAAGCACATGGCTCTAATGCGTATCGTTGCGGTACAGAAGAGACTACGTCACGCCATCGGTACGGCGCGGTGGTGGGGGGTGATACGATCGGGAACGTTTAATCAGCTAGAATGTATCATCCCCCACCAACACATGCTGTAGCAAAAGATCACTGTTTGGAAGCTGTTGTGGAGGTTGAAGTAGAGTTCCACTAAAAAACTGTTTGCCAAAGTTAGATTTTTTTAAACCCCTCTATCTACCTCTATTCCATATGAACCAACCCCCAACATTGATGAACATAAGTTTGTAGTTAGCGTCTATAACTGCTAATAATACAATAGAGAAGAATCCCTTGTAATTGTAGTACAAAGAGGACGACTTTCTACAGTGTTAGCAAAACGGGAGTGCCGATGGAGACCAGGTCAAGTCCCTTCAAACGCACGCACCCCCACAGGTCTCCATCGGCACTCCCGTTTTGCTAACACTTTATAGGGCACTTGATTCGTACGTGTTTCCCGTCGATCACTCGAACACAATTTGCGAAATTCCATTTCACGTAGTACTCATTAGCCTTCATTTTCAGCCCATCTTTAGAAATGTTTGGTAAAAACAACGGCACTAGATTCTCTTTCAGAACAGCCAGAGTCCTTTCCAATATACGGCTTATTTAACTGATGGAAATTCGGTATTGAAATCTCAACTAGTGATATGGTTCCCCACTAGCCAAGAATCTGAAAAATAGTGACATTAGAATACGTAGTAGTATTGAAACTACAGGTATGCAATAGTTGATATTTTGAGCGGAGCAAGTATTTTTTTTTTATTTTCTTAGTATTTTTTACAAACAATTTTCAAATTCTCGTTTTCAGTTGCTGACTGCAAAAAACGTTGGCGAAACATTAAAGATACTCATGACAGGAGGATTCGAGAAAACAACAAAACTGGTTCTGAGGCCCCACCCTGCAAGAAAGGGAAGAAGTGGCAATTAGAAGAACAACTGTCTTTCCTGCACACTGCGGATGTTAAACGAAAGTAAGATATAACATAAGGCTCGTTGACCCGAGTATAATAATATAATTTATTGTACAGAGTGTACATTAACTCTACCTTAGGGCATTACTCCTGGGTAAGAAACATATAAATATCATATTTAAATTGTGCGGAAGTCCTTAGTTACTCACACAGCCGCCATTTTGTTTTTTCAGTTATTAATTTTTTTTCTAAAGAATGGTTAAACATACGAAATGGAAACTTTGCACAAACATTTATGACAACTAGACAAAGCTACAAAAAAATTATGACGATTTTTCTAATTCATAAAACAAAATGGCGGTTATTTATAATTTTTATAAAATCAACGGTTTTTGAGTTATTTAAGAAAAATTTTTAATGGCCGCCATTTTGTTTTATGAATTTGAAAAATCGTCATATTTTTTGTAGCTTTGTCTAGTTGTCATAAATGTTTGTGCAAAGTTTCCATTTCGTATGTTTAACCATTCTTTAGAAAAAATTAATAACTGAAAAAAACAAATGGCGGCTGTGTGAGTAACTAAGGACTTCCGGACAATTTAAATATGCTATTTAGGTATGTTTCTTACCCAGGAGCAATGCCCTAAAATATTGGTAGAGAGTTCCGGGACACCCTGTATATTAGGTAATATATAAGATTAGACCATCCCATGACTTGTTTCCATGATATTACAGTCTAGGAATGTGGGTATGATATGTGGGGGGAAATGGGCTAATGTCAAATATAATACTTTTTGCAGTCTTATTTACTCATCAAGCACTCACTACTCTCCTCTACACCCACATCAACCTTCACTTTATAAGAGTCCCTTTTCTGCTCTCATAAAAAAACCTAATCCATTACGATATAACACAACTTTCTTCTGTGTTTGTTTTCAGAAGCTTCTGCAATATCAACAGCGGCAACGAAGAGAATGCTCGTGATGAACAAGATGATTCTGTTGGTCTTAATGTATCTGACAATGAGCAAGACACCCTTGCAGATGCAGCAGCTTATGTCCCGCCTCAGCCTACGCCTCCGAAACTTGTGTCTCCCAAAAACAATTCAGCTGATCAACAAAAGAAAATGACTTACAGAGACAAAATCAGTTTTGCGATCGAAAAATGCTCTAAAGAGAGAGATGTAATGATAATGAATTTGTTACAAAAGGACGACGAAACAGACGATGATATAAGTTTGTTTTTTAAAAGCATAGCAAAGAGTGTGCAAAAGATGCCCCCTAATTTACAACAACGAGCTAAGCTGGAAACATTAAGTTTGATTTCAAATATTGAATCTGATATGTGGGCATCACGTGAAAATAGCCAAATGGTTATGCTCCCTTCGCCGTCATTAAGCGTACTCTCTGAAGTCAGTATGTCTTCAACGTCACAAGATGCGCAAACTCATCTGAACGTACGAGGTTCATCTAAACCCGCAGTATAATGAAAGTGCACATTTTTTATGTGTATGATAGACCCAAGACTACCCTGTTTACCAACTTAACGGGTTAATGTATTGAAAGTTTATTTTACTTAAAAAGACTGAGGGACTTAAATAACTATCTTTTTCTTGTGTATCTGTATAATGTTACTTATTATATAAAAAAATACTTACTTTATTGTCATCACTGATCTCATCATCTGTCATCAGATCTCTGCTACGAGTTAAGTTAACTCTTTGCAATAAAATTCAATACAATAACGTGTTTTATTTTTCATACATACACGCCTTGAATAAGTCAAGTTTTAGTTTCCACCATTGTATTAAGCTTAAAAAAACTATTTAGTGCTTTGAAATATTGCTCTACAGTTCGTCAATTTGTTACTGATTTATTAATTTGTGCAGCAAACTTATGTACCCAACCGCATTGAGATTTATTTTGTAATCACTATTTTGTATGAAGTGGAATAACCTCAACGGCTACTCTTAGAAAACAAATAAATAAAGAATAAAGATTAAATCTGTTCGTACAGGCAATATATTTGTTCAGTAAGTACTTTGACTACTAATTGATCAAATTATTTTCCCAAAAACCAGCAAACTACAACATTTTAAAATACTCTCCATAAGAATAACATGGGAATTTTAAATTTGAATTTTTACGAATTTTGTCCGTAACCAATAACCGTACAAAAGCACTTCAATACACAAAATTATTTGTTTTTTAAGTTCTTTAAAATTATTTAAAGGGAAATCGGGAAATTTTGTGATTTGAGTGCCAAAAGAGAGAAAACCCAATTTTTACCCCTCCTTCATAAACGACTACTACTATTGGACTATTGGACTACATAGGTACTCCCATACATAGTAACCCCCATAGATACTTCCCTATGGGTAAATTCGCTTAAACAAACTTTACAGCATAACAAAAATTGTTTACAAGACAATGTTACTGAACAGCCACGTATTATATCTCTGGTGAAGGATGATGTGCACGGCAGCACACGCAACAGCGTTCCCGCTGAACGGGGGCGTTGGTGAAACCATCGAGGTAGACTTGAAATTGAAACTTTGCACAAACATTTTATGACAACTAGACAAAGCTACAAAAAATTATGACGATTTTTCATATTCATAAAACAAAATGGCGGCCATTTAAAATTTTTGTTTCTTAATAACTCAAAAACCGTTGATTTTATAAAAATTTTAAATGGCCGCCATTTTGTTTTATGAATTTGAAAGATCGTCATAATTTTTTGTAGCTTTGTCTAGTTGTCCTAAATGTTTGTGCAAAGTTTCAATTTTATATGTTTAACCATTCTTTAGAAAAAAATTAATAACTGAAAAAAACAAAATGGCGGCTGTGTAAGTAACTAAGGACTTCCGGACAATTTAAATATGATATTTAGGTATGTTTCTTACCCAGGAGCAATGCCCTAAAATATTGGTAGAGAGTTCCGGGACACCCTGTAGATGTTAACAATAATATTATTGTTTTAAGAGAAATTGCATATAGGGAAGTACCACAATTATCAGATTGGACTAAAAAACTAGTATGCTTGTACCATGTTGAAGAGGGAATAAATTGAAAGCGTTATAAATTAATATCAGAAGTTTTAAACTTCATTCCATAAAAGAACAGATAATGCCATAAAAGGGATGGTTATACCGTTAGTTGTTTTTTATCCCACAACAATCAAAACTAACTAAAATTACATTCAATCATTACTAATACCCCCGCCGCAGCAAACCTGCCGACTAAGCGAATTTCCATTTGTCTGAATTGATTTTCAGTTATTTGAATAACATTAGGTTTAACGAGTACCTAGGTTTGCTGCTACAAGGAAACTAATAAAGTGTGTTTTTTAGTAAAATATTGATAGCTTAGTACAAAATAAATAAATTTGCCAAGTTTGATCAAAATATATCCATAAACAAGCAAACTACAACATTTGACAATATTCTCCATAAGAATAACATGGGAATTTTAAATTTACAATTTTTTTAATTTTCTCCGTTACTAATAACCGAACAAAAATACTTTTATATACTAAATTATTTGTTTTTTTAAGCTCTTTAAAAAGGTCTAAAGAGAAATTGGGAAATTTTGTGTTTTAAGGGTCAAAAGTGAGAAAAACCAATTTTTACCCCATAAAACCCCCCGTAAAGCCCCGTTCCCATGGTCCGATCATGCTGGTTTGCGAACTCATTCAAGTTTATCCCGCTTTACACATTTAAACCAAATTTCATCAAAATCGGACCAAAATTACTCAAGTTATCGCGTTCACGGACGTATATATATATATATATATATATATATATATACATATATAAAAATTTGAATGAATGGTGTTTTTGGCCTCTGGGGACATCAAAATGAAAAAGTAAATTGGTCCCGGGTCTAGGTCTTACCGTGCCACCTACGGTAATAGCTACTTCCCTATAGGGAAATTCGCTAAAAATGAACGTTTTATTAGGTTTTGTTTATGGAACTGCTAGCCAGTGTTTGCGTAACCCGTGTAAAGTATGATGAATGCTTTTTTTCTGTTATTGTTTTACTAAACAGTAAATTTTACTATCCTCAAATAGAAATCGTACAACCGAATAAAATAATGAGTAATCAATAGTTTTAAAATAATTTAATACCCCCGCCGCAGCAAACCTGCAGACTAAGCGAATTTCAACTCGTCTGATTACATTTTTACTAAAATATTTCCATAAATAAGACATATTATTCCCTATTTAAATAACATTAGATTTAACGAGTGCTTAGGTTTGCTGCTACGGGGAAGATAAAAAGTGTTTTTTGACCATACGTCAATAGTATAGGATGAAATAAATAAATTTGCCAAATGTTATCAATATATACCCATAAACAAGTAAACTACAACAATTTTCATTTTCTCCATAAGAATAACATGGGAATTTTTAATTACACTATTTTTGAATTTTCTCCGTGACCGTTAGGCATACAACAGCGCTTCAATATACTAAATTATTTCTTTTTTTAAGCTCTACAAAACGGTTTAGAAAGAAATCGCAAAATTTTTTGTTTTTAGGTTCAAAAATGGGAAAAACCCATTTTTACCCCATAAAACCCCCCATAAACCCCCGTTCCCATGGTCCGATTATGCTGGATCGCGAACTCGTTCGAATAAACGTAGGTTTACACGTTTGTATCAAATTTCATCAAAATCGGATCATTTTTGCTCGAGTTATCGCGCTAACGGACACATATATATATATATATATATATATATATATATATATAAATATATATATAAATATATATATAAATATATATATATAAATATATATATATATATATATGAATTTGAACGGATGGTGTTTTTGGCCTCTAGGGACCTCAAAATGAAAAATTAAATCGGTCTCGGGTCCAGGTCTTACCATGAGTACTACGGTAATAGCTTATTCCCTATATGGGAAATTCGCTAATAAAAAATATTTAAAACCATACGCACTTTTTACGAGTAGTTTTCTGAATGGGTATTTGATTGAATTCCATAGTGAATTGGATTCTACGGTGTCATCATACCTAGTTTGTTAACTAGTTGATTGGTTTACTTGATAAATGTATGATAACTATCGTCATTATAGTAATTATTGTCAAGTAGCTATTCACAACCTGACAAGTTAATCCATCAACTTGTTTCAAGATTTTATCTCCTTTAGCCTACCTTACCTCAGAAGTAGTGATCTTCCTCTCAGAAGGTAATTCAATTAGGTACTTATGGAAGATTTAACATTTGCTTAAACGAGTTCACATATTTTATGTTAATTAATGTCTGTTGGATCTATTTATCAGTGGAATCATTTGAAAAGGAGGTTAGCTTAAACAAACTGGCCGACAATTTATTAAGAGGAAAGAACGGACTTTTGATTGTCCAACACGGACAACCACTGTTGCTCAGTTGCTGGTTTCTGCGCACATTTTGCACGTTCCACTACAGGTTATAGCTGCAGGCCTGGACCTGTTTGAACCGGTCCAACTTCTCTAAACACGTGATTGGTCCCTGCTACATGTGACCGGCTACATGTTATTAATTACTCATAAGTATTTTCCATCTATAACCAACGCTTGTGGATTTTAAGCGCACAATATTTATAATAGCGGTTGTAATTGTTTTTATTTGTTCGATTGAAAATATGGTTGGTGCTAGCATATACAAAGAAGTAGACTTCCCTACCAATGTAAAAGTTTGAAGCCAAGAAAATATATGAAGTTCAGGACCATCCCACCAGAGGGTACTAGTACGTGTATTGGGTTAAATAGGTTATTAATTAAGATCCATGCCAACAGCTGATTGATTTATCACTTGACAGAGACAGAATATTGTCATTAGTTGATAGATAATCTCAACAGATTGCGCCACTTTTTTGGTGATTGGTGCATCTTTTTTGCACCAAATTTTTACATTGGATGGGAATTTTGCTCTGTGTATAGTCAATGGTGTTATATCTTTGCGTATGGTTTTGTTTCGGCAGTTCCAAATTCACGTAACGTTAAACTGGATATTGAATTAAATGTATTATTTCATCTAACGAAAGTAAAAAAAAACTAAGCACACAGAGTGAAGAGGGCTATTTAAAGTTTCCGGTGGCGTGATGTTGTTAACGCCGTTAGGATGGTAATAAAAATCTGACAATCTAATTCCTTAACATAAAATCTTGAATACAAAGTCACACAATTATTTTACAGTTAAATTATGATATTTAGTAGTCTAACTTAACCATTTTAGAAAGTTTCAGGTTTCTTACTACAGAAGAAAACATGCGAAATTAATAAAGGAGTAGAAAGATGAGAAAGTCTTTAAATTTCACAAAACATTTATTGGCCTACATTAAGGTAGACGGGTAGACGAAATCAATAACGAGTACATCTCTATGAGAACCAGTATTCATAAAACATTTCTATTTTGATTCTAACTGATACGAAAAATACAGAGAACATTTTAGCAAGCTCAGGAGGTCCACGTTTCACACACAATTCAATTCCTTCTTACCGCTTCCCTTAGAGCGGTAAAGCCGCGTT